AAGGACGAAAAATCTCGGAGGTCCCGTTTGCACGTTGCGCACGCTAAAGATCCCTTGGTGGTCGAAAATCGATAAGAGTAGGCTTCGGCCGCCACCCGGGCAAAATTCAAAATTTCCTACCAACTGAAAATGTTTAGTGTGCCCCGTGCGCTCATATGACCTTGCGCAGTTGCAAGCGCCGTAAAACACTTACAAAAACCCCCCCAAAAACCCTACAAACAAACAAAAAGCAACGACAACAACAACCTCAAACAAACAAACTCAAAACACCCGTGTTTCTGTGGCGCCTGGGAAGACTTTGTAGCGAGTCATCATCATCCAGTGCCAGATCTGTGACAGACATCGGTGATCATGGTTTTCCATTCATTCCTTTGCTCGGATGCTCTAAAAAAAAGCTACGTTTCCCTGATATTTCCCTGTCACCCATTTGTTTAGGTTCTTTAAGTATGTTGTTCTGGGCCTACCCCTGCCTCGCTTGCCCAGAATTTTGACAGTGAGAGCTAAATGTTCAAGACCCTTATGTCTATTCAGGTGTCCCAAAAACGAATATTTCGGTCTTTCTGCTGGCATGTTGTACCTCCTTCAGCCTGTGTTGACCCTGACACTGACAGACTGTCTTGGTCGGAAGCCTGCCTCCCAAATGATCTAACTTTTGTCGATGGGGGCATAAAAGTTTATTAAAAGCACTCGCCTCACATACACATATACACACACACTCACTCACACTCACACACACACAGACACACGCACACACACACACACACACACACACACACACACACACACACACAAGCACACGGTCCTGTAGAAAGTACGCATCATACTTCACCCATCACACTTCACACATGACACAGCACACAGCACACATCAGCACATGACACATCCGACATCAGCACATTTACACTTCACACATCACCCAATACACATCACATATCATACAGCACACATAGATCTATACAACACACATCACACATCAGCACATCACAAATGACACATCACTCAACACACAGCAATCATCGCACAACACACAACACATCACACATCAGCACATTCACACATGAAACATCACACATCTTACATCTCTTTTCACACCAGACACATCTCAGCACATTCATACATCAGCACATTTACACATCACACATTACACATCACCCATCACACTTCACACATCACACATCAGCACCTCACAAATGACACATCACTCAACACACATGCCACATCACACATCGGCACATGACACATGACACATGACACATCATACATCACTCATCACGCTTCAGCACATCACACATCACACAGCACACACCAGCACTTTCACACATGACACATGATACAACACATATCAGCACATTCACACATGACACATGAAACATCACTCGTCACACAAGTCACAGCACACATCACACAGCATACAGCCCGCCAAATCGCCAGTTCTGCGCCGCACTCACACACACTCACACACACTCTCACACACACACACACTCTCACTCACACATAAACATAAACTCACACCTGGGAAATATTAGCTCAAACGAAATCACCGTTTAGCCTACAAACCATTTTCCGCTTGAGTGGCGCGCCTCTGCCTGGGCCCCGCGGGAAACCTGGGGGGACTTGGGGGGAGGGGGAAGGGAGGGGGGTGAGAGCTCACAACAACGTCACAACCAGATGGGAAGATAGGAAGCTGGGGAGAAGTGGGCGGCCATCTGGCGCGAGCTGTGGTGCCTTAAGCATCACATTCCCGGCTTGTTTCTTTCATCATCAACTCCGTGCTCGAACAATCCACGCCGTCCTGTTTTCTACATGTCTGCTCATCCCTCGGTGACGGCACAGCAACGGATACAGGGGGAGAGTAGACGTCACGACAGA